CAGTGCCTGCTTAACCTAATCCAGTGATGGAGATCCGGACCCAGGTAGCCATGGTGGCGCTCACTTTGTGAGCCTATTCTGGGGGAGATGGAAACAAACATCTCCTCACTCAGATAGAGAAATCGATGACAGGCCCAAGTAAGGATACCACCAAAGTTCAATTTGATGAGCCAACAAATGTATGGGGTTACTTAAAGGAGATTGGGTGAGGGGCTACAGGCAGCAGCAGAAATGATTCAAAGACAGCTGCATCATCAAAGCCCACTCAGGACCCACATGGCGAAATGAGAAAACTAACTCCTGCAAGATGTCCTGTGATCTCCACTCATGTACCAAGTACATGTGCACCCACATACATAGTTCCTACAGACAATAAATAGATAAGTAAATAAATGTAAAAAAATTTAAATAACCCTCAAAAAACAAAAACATCCAGTCCCCCTGCTAAGAAGTTTGTTATTGCTGCCTGCATAGGCTGAACACTCCTCAGACAGTGCTGAGCACCACGGGACCTCTCCCTAGGGAAGAACTTCTTCAAATGCTGCAGAGGCAGCTCAGCTGGCTGGGGACCACCTGCATATCACTTACCTGGAAGCAGTGTGAGGTAGTGGTTAGTACACACACACACACACACACACACACACACACACACACACACACACACAGACACCCCACACACACACCATGCTGAGGGTGCTTGCGCTTTGGGGACAGGCTAATGAATCTTCTTCCCGTGCTCCACCTTTTTCATGGAGAAGTTAGAGACAAAAATAGTATTCTGTGGGGATGTGGGGCTGGTGAAGGGCATCTGTGAGCAGAGGCCAGCACACACTAAGTGTCAGGTTCAAAAGAAATGCCACACAAATGGCCCTCTGTGGTGCCTATTAGATGCCATGCTGGCCTCCAGGCTCACTGGGTACCTGTGGTTCTCACCCCACCCCTTCTTGTAAACTTCTCCAGCTCATGGGCTTCCTTCCCTCCCCCCAACTTCTCATTCCCATATAACCCTGCTGCTAGGCCATGCACCCTCTTGGTTTGTATTCTTTTGTCTTCCTCTCTTGGTGCCTTCTGTCTTAGTTGTCTCTTCCTCTTCCTCTCTCGCTCTCCCCTCACCCCCACCCAATGACCCAGTCTTGTCTGCTGGTCAGGTTCAAGCTACTGCTTTGCCTCCCTGCTCTGGACTCTTCCAGATGCTGTGCTCTCCCTCATACCCCTCCCCCACCATACCTTGGAGCCACCATGTCCTGACTTTATACACAAAACTCTGTGTCAGTGTCAACTATTCTCTTTATTTTTTTTTTTTTAAATGAGGCTTCACATTCAAATGTTTTAAAAATGACACTAAGAGGGGCTGGAGAGATGGCTCAGTGGTCACGAGCACTGGCTGCTCTTCCAGAGGATCCTGGTTCAATTCCCAGTACCCACATGGCAGCTCACAACTGTCTGTAACTCCAGTTCCAGAGGATTTGACACCTTCATACCAATGCACAATGAATGAATTTAAATAAATTATTAAAAATAACATTAAGAATAGGAAGCTATAAAATCAAACAAATGCAATAGAAACAAAACAATACTACTGAGTCCTGATTAGGGTGATGGCGGTTCCGGGCGCTGCGTGGGAGGCAAGGGCTACTATACTGTGACCTCTCTCCTCAGCTTGCATGGGACTGACAGACAGCCAAGGGGAAGAGAGAAACTTTAAAGGCCCTACTAAGTCTCCATCTAGCACAGCCATCTGGGAATGCAACTATTATAGGACTAAAGGGCTCACTGATGGGAGGAAGCATCGGTTCCTGCTGACAGGGAGGGTTTTCCTGTCTCTTGTTCCCGGGACTCTATGGTTCCCTCCTGATTGGAAGGTGGCCCAGAAAGTGGGCCACACAAGAGCAGGACACACTGCACAGCAGGCAGGCTTCTTCTTCCAAGATACCTGTCTCACCACAGGTCCCCAGAGGAAAATCAGGAGGGGTGTGGCCGCTCTTCCAAAAAAAGCCGGAGTGGGCGGGGTCTCTGGCTAAGTGGGTGGGACGACGGGCGGGGCGAGATCACGGAGGGAGTCCTGGTGCCTCCCCGGAGTCACCACCTGCGGGCAGAGAAACCCCCGCGCTGAAGCTGGCGGTGAGTGCTTGCCTGCTGCTTCTGTGGTCTGCGGGTGCTCGGGGTGGTAGGTGGGTGTGTGAAAAGGTTTTCTGGGGCAGACTGAGGGCTCTGGGTGACTGCGCTCAGTGTGGTGGAGACTACGAGAGCCTAATGTCCCATCCCTGTGACGGTGTTAACTGGCTCCGGAGCTGGCCTAGCTGTGCCTCCTTCCGTAAGAGACTGTTCCCCCTGGAAGCTTCAGCAGAGTAGATAGGCTGTAATGTAGAGGGAAAGGGACATCTTGAGGGGAGCCGTGGCAGACTATGGTCACTGGGATGAAGAGGTTTAGGGCACGGGAAGCCCATCGAAGTCCCTGGGATCCTTTGAAGTCTAAGGGGAGGCTGCGATCTGGGGGTGGTTGGGACAGTGGAAAGAAAGCTTGCAGATGAGGTCCTTACCCAGAAGGAGGAAATCCTGCTTTAGGTCGCAGTAGGAGCCATTCCTGGCCCAGTTGTCCCCTCTCTGTGGGCCTCAGTTTCTCTGTCTTTATTCCTCAGAGATCTCTCTAACCCTAGCTGCTGCTCTGTAATCCTTGCCCTTGTTTCCTCATTTGTGAATGTTCCCACAACTGGGGTCAAACTCTGTTCCTGCCTGGAGAGATTCCCCACCACCTGCCCAATGCCAGCTCAGCACCTCAGCCTTTAGGCTTGATCCCCTCTTTTGCTTCTCAAGCCCTTGGTGCTGCTATGTCTGGACAAGCTAGCTCCCAAGCCTCTGGGTAGGTCTCTAGCTGGCTGAAGCTCTCTGGCTGTGTTTCTTTCAGATCATGCAGGGTCCTGGCCTGGGGCAGGGGTGTTGGCTTTCCTGTGGAGTGTGATCTCTCCCCAGGGGTCCGTATTCTTCAGTTTCAGAAAAGCTGTCCCTGTCAGCCACTTCTGCCCTCTTAGTGAAAAAGACCAAACTGACAACTCCTTGCTTCTCTCCCAGTCAGTCTGTTGTGAGGCTATTGGAGCCTCTGGTTTCTTGGCCATTTGATGCCAGGAGGCCTTCAGGTTCAGCTCCAAGCTGGCACCGGTTCCACTTTGCGAGTCTCTCACACCCAGGTCAGCATTCAGTGTGGCCCAGTGAGCAGGCGCTTCCTACTAGCCCACTGGGTAAGTCTGTGCCATGCAATGGCTCCTCTCTGGTTCCACAGCTACCTCCCCCAAGCTGTGTGGAATAAAGACATTATCATTCATTCAGTCCCATCTATACACTGGGTGATGCAGAGTCCAGAGTCATGCTAATGCGTGCCATTGCAGATGACAGGAAAGACTGTGGGGAGAAAAAGCTGGGACAGGGCTTGGGGATCGCAGTTCTGCATAGCAGAGGGAATCCCTCTGAGGCACTGACCACTGAACAAAGTCTTAAGAAGGTGATGGGCAAGTCATGTGACTATCTGTGGGACCGAGAGTGTCCTTTGAGCATAAAGCTTAGGCAAGGACAGGAGCATGGCAGACCAGAGCAGGCTCCCTTGTTCTGAGAGTGAGGAGGCAGGTTAAGGGCTACAGCGGGGTGGGAAGGAGTCCATGGAGGCTAGGACGAAAGGGGTGGAGTTGAGGTCTCTTGTATTGGGCTTGAGGTTGCTGTTAAGGCTTTTGGCTTTCACTTTGACTATGATGAGAACCACTGGTGGGATGGGCTGTGAACAGGTAAGGTCTCTGCTCTGACTTAAGGTCTGGCAGGTTCATCTAGTTGTGCAACTGAGATTAGCCTACGGGGGTCATAGCAGATGAAGGAACCGTGAAGGGGCTTTAGGGCTTATGTTGTCATGGTATAGAGAGAGGTGAAGAGAGAATCTGTGGTTTTCAGATTTGGGGTCTGTTGAAGGCTGGGTGGATGGTCTGTGATGCATGAGAGTGGCAGAGTCACGGATGACTCTGAGAGGTAAGTTGAGAGAGGAGCTGTTAGGAGGAAGGGTCCAGTGATTGATTTGTATCTGTTTGGAGACGCTGGTAGGCACTGCATGATGTGGGATGGAGTCTAGAGCTGTTGGTGACATTTCAGGCATCACTACCACACAGTTGGGAATTAAGCCTGTGGGGAGGTGAGCTTATGTAGGGAGAGAGAGACTCAGAGAAGTGGCAGTGATTCAGTTTGATGGGGTGGGGGTGGGGTACCAGCCTTGCAGGTAGAATGGCTAGAAAGAGCAACTAGCACATGAGGAGGAAATCCTTCATGGCCTCAAGAGAAGTGCTCCAGGGAGGAGGGTGAACAGGTAGAACAAATGTCCTTGTCAGAAAGGAAGGCCAAGACCAGAAGGCCGAGAAGTGGCTGTCATGGTTTGCATTCTCAATGGTGGTGGTTGTGGGAGGGGGAGAAGGATGAAGGGAGTACTTGGGGATGGCAGTTCAGGCCCGGACAAGGGAGGGCAGAAACAAAGGATGAATTAGTCTGTTTGTTCTATGATGGGAACTGATGTCCTGGGGAGCAACTCAGAGGAGAGGGAAAGTGGAGTTAGTCCTCCAGGGAAAGTTTGGCCAGCCAGGACAAGGACAGCCAGCCAGCAAGGACAAGAAGCTGTATTCTACACTCTTTGACACCTCCCTTCCTTCCTCTCCTGCTGCAGGAGGCCTGGGGCATTGCAAGGATTGTCCAGCCCTCGGACAAATTCTCAGCTGGGAACTTAAAGGAAAATCAGGCTGCCCATGGGAAGAAAGGAGGTGCAGGGGGTGGGGTGGGCAAGGGTGGGGCACACACGTGCACCTGCATGCATGTGTATGTGGTGTGTGTGTGTGTGTGTGTGTGTGTGTGTGTGTGTGTGTGTGTGTGTGTGTGGCTTGGGGATGAGAGAAGCCTTTGTAGACACCCTTGACCCTCTGTTTCAGCAAGCAGGTGACCCCCTTGTTTGGATTCCCTCTTGCAGAGCCTAAGAGTGACTCCAAGGTGGCACTAGCTGGATTGAGAAGAAAAGGCAGGGGAGACAGAACAGTTGTTTAACCTGGAGAGGGCATGTCTGACCGAGTAGGAAGGTGCAAGAACAGGAATCTAGGACCAGCTTTCATGAGATAGGTGACAAGAACATCTACCCTTTTGCTTTTCTCTTCGGATTTTAGCCAAACAAGATAAACTAATGAAGGACCTCCTCAGCTGGTCGGGAGAACAGTATCAAACCCGGGTCTCCTTTTCTAGCTGTTTAAGACGAGATAGGAAGATGGCCTGCTCAGAGGCAGGGGACTGGTGGGATTGGTCTTTGGAGCTATGCCTTGCTTTGTGGTCTGCAGCAGACTGGCAAGATGGGGCTTTCCAGTTGTGGGTGGGAGGCAGAGCACTGAGCCACATGGCTTTCCTGCCTCACCCTGCCGGTATCCACACAACTGACGTCATTGGGTGTGTATGGTTTGGGTATCCGGCCAGCTCTTGGCATATCTGGAAAGAGCTCCTGCTCTCCCTCAATTGTCTCTATCTGGGCAAGCACATTCATTGGAGACATTTCACATCCCTAGGGTCTTTGACTGAAAGCCAGTGTAGATGTCCTAGGCATTATGCCAGGACTGCCAAGAACTAGCAAGTTCTGGGTGCTGGCCTGCCAGCTCAGGCTTCCTGCTCAGCTTGTGGGATTTCCCCTAGGGTGGGTCAGCTGGATTAGGGACCTGCCTGTGCAATGCCTCTGGGCCTTTTGGCTCATGTGTTTGCAGAAGTATTAAGTGTTTTATTCAGTACCCTGTAGATGAAGTGAGCCAGGCATCCCATCTTAGCACTTTCTACCCTCTATACTTCCCAGCTGCACCTCAGGCCTCAGGCCAGACAGAGTGCTTGCCCTTGCCTGTGCTATCCTCTGAGTAGGAGGGGCCAGTGGTTACTTTCCTCAGGACCTGGGCAGGGGTGGTGAGTTAGCTGGTGCTCCAGCTTTGGCTGGTTTGTATAGATGAGAAGTACTCTATGACTTGACCCTAGCTCATGCTGCCCCTTGCTGTCGTCTTCCTCTCCCCTACTCTTGGCTCCTCTGCTTGGACTGAGCCTAGGGTACAGGTGACCTGCTTGGCCAATGAGAACTCTCAGCTCCTGGCTTACAGTAGCCTCCACAATAGGGATATCTTCTCTCCTAAGCTGCCAGAGGCTCAGGTAGCTTCCCTGCCTCACTCTGCCCATCTGGCCAGCTCTAGGCTGCCTGCCTGCATGGTAGTAATGTGGTGCTGAGTTAGGGATTGAAGACAGACCCAGAGCATTCCAGCTCCAGGCTTATCCCAGGGCTTCTGCTGAGCCCAGTGCCAGGCAAAGCTTCGGGGTGTCAGAATGGGGGAGATCTAGCCTGCAGTGGGAGCCCGCCATAGAGGGAAGATAATCATTATCTAACAGGAAAGGCCTAGACCCCTCCCCCCATTTCCAGCTGCCCCCTCTCCACTACAGAAGCACCTTAGAATGTCCCAGATTGTGAAAGGAAGCCTGTGTTCCTCTTCCCCTGTGCCCGCAGTCTTTTGCTTTCATTTTCTCTGGGCATGGCCCCAGCCCTTATCTAGGAGAGTGGCAATGACAAACTGGCCCACTGGAATTTTCTGATTTTTCTCTGTGGCTCAGTGATCTCCATTGCCTGAAGCTCCTGATGGTCCCTTCCTTTCAAAGCCCCAGCACTTGGGACTGAAGGCTGAGCTCAGTACTAACTCCTGAGCATAGCGATAGTAGGGCAGCAAGCAGTGTGTGCTACTGAATGCATGGGAGGAGGAGCAGGGGCCTTAGGTGGGTGTGTGTGTGTGTGTGTGTGTGTGTGTGTGTGTCTGCCTGCCTGCCTCTGTGTGTGTGTCGCCGCCCCTCTCTCTCTCCTCCTCTCTCTCCCCCCCCCCCCCTTGGGGGGGGGGGGGGGGGGGGGCGGCCCCGGGGGCCCCCCCCCCCCCCCCCCCCCCCCCCCCCCCCCGTGTCTGTCTGCCTGCCTGCCTCTCTCTCTCTCTCTCTCTCTCTCTCTCTCTGTGTGTGTGTGTGTGTGTGTGTGGCGCCGCCGCGGGGGCGGGTGCCGCCGTGTGTGTGTGTGTGTGTGTGTGTGTGTCTGTGGCGCGCGCGCGGCGCCCCCCCCCCCCCCCCCCCCCCCCTGTTGGATAATGTGCCAGTAGGCTTCAAGTTAACTTTGTGTGCATTCTGATGTCCTGTTTCACCTGGATTGACATCATTGCAGCAAGCCCCAGTTCTGCCTTTGGACCAGTAATAGGTTATGTGCAGAGGGCAGGGTTTGGGGCCTGTGGGGATACCAGTAAGAGACAAAGGTTTGCATCAGGCAAGGAGTCCCATTGCTTGGGGTCCAATCCCAACCCTGTCTTTCCCAGCTATGACAAATACTACAAAATTTGTTTTAACTCAGGATCCTTCTCTGTAGATGGGACTGGCCACAGAACCTGCTTTCTAGAAGTTGAGAGTGGGAAATGCATTGTTTTAATAAGGCACTTAGGATGCCCTTAACGGACCCAGTGGTTCCAAAGCTGTATGACTGTGAGTGTCCTGTGTTGAAGGGAACTGATCCTCAGGAAGTTACTTCTTCTGTCAACTCTGCTTGTGACACTACATAAGTTAGAGAACAAGCATAGCTATGGGAGCCCAGAGTCTCAGGATTTAAATGTCTGGCTGTTTTAAACTCATGGAAACTCCAGGTAGTTTCTTGACATCCTGGGCCTGACTTTGAGAGGAACTTAGACTGCAGAATGCCTGAGTACCACAGTAGCCCACTTGGACTTGGAGTATGTTGCTCTGTACATAGCCTGGCTTCTAGAGAAGTCATTTCCTGACCTCTGACTTCACCTGTTCTCTTGCAGGTTGTGACATGTGCTCACAGGAAGACTTCCAGGCACAGAGGAGCCAGCTGGTGGCACTATTGGTCTCAGGGTCCTTGGAAGGCTTTGAGAGCATCTTGGACTGGCTGCTGTCCTGGGATGTGCTGTCCTGGGAGGACTATGAGGGCCTCAGCCTCCCGGGTCAACCTCTCTCCCATTCTGCCAGGCGCCTACTGGACACAGTCTGGAACAAGGGTGATTGGGGCTGTCGGAAGCTCCTTGAAGCTGTTCAAGAGGCCCAGGCCAATAGTCACACCTTTGAACTGCATGGCTGCTGGGACACTCACTCCATTCATCCAATCAGAGACCTTCAGAGTCACCGGCCAGCCATTGTCCGGGGACTCTACAACCATGTAGAAGCCATTCTGGAGCTGGCAAGGGAGCGGGGATTCCTGAGCCAGTACGAATGTGATGAGATCAGGCTGCCAATCTTCACGTCATCCCAGAGGGTAAGCTGTGGCCTGTGTCAGCAGAATTCACAGGGGCAGGCTGTTTAGTCAACAAGACTGTTGCTCTTAAGCAGTCAATACCATAGAATAGCATGCTCGGTGGGCTTTCCCATGCAGAGTTGACCAGCCAGATCAAAGTTGCTTTGCCAGCAAATCAGTTTTTATGGGGGGCAGCTATGGCTTGGCAGCACAGGGCTTGGACTCAGCAGCTAGAATGATGCTGGTTCTAGGCCAGTTCCATGTGCCTGGATGTTTCTGTATAGAAGCTCTCCAGCTATTCCTCCCTCTTCTTTTCTTTTCTTTCACTTGTTTGCAGTGCTGGACCTTTTGCTGTACCCCAGCCTTAGCCTCTACCCTTCATTTCTCCCGTCTCAGTCTCTCATTGAATGACACTGTTAATCTCTGATGCTCAAGGGTTTGGGGAGAACTCACTGAGTTAACCCGTGTGTCAATTAGAGGTGTGTCTGGGAAGCCCGTTAGCATTGTCTCTGGCTGCTGCTTTCATGTCTGCTGAGTAGCTCTCTGTACTTACAGACTTTTATTACTGTCTGCTTCAAATCAACGGCTCAGTGGAGAATAATTCTGCATTATATTAAATCCAAATTTAATAGTATAGCCCACTGTGTGCCAATATGGTTTAAATGCCCACCTAGGATTTCAGATATGAAATTGCATTCTATTTAGCAGAAACCACAAGGGCAGAAAAGCCTCTCTGGGTATTTCTGAAACCTCTGTTTTCCTGGTGGTCCTCAGGCTGCCTGAGAAGCATGGAAAATAGTGATGTTCTACTTTACAGTTTCGGGAAGTCCACAGTAGTGAAAGAGTGGTCAGTGGTGGATTTTGGCCTTGACTCGTTCATTCAGCCGGAATCTGTGAGGTTTACCATATGCCAGGTTCTGTATTAAAGCTGGCTGTGTTGAGACTTTGCAAGTGATAGGTATTTGGTCAATACTCACTGATGAAATAAGTAAGTTAGTAGAACTACCTACATTTCAGTTCAAGGATGGGCAAGTCAGACTTCATGTGAGTTTGGGTAGGCAAAAGCCAAGGTGGATTAAATAAGCATCTGTTTCCAGTGTTGTTTTCCAGCTGTTGGAAGTGGCTGAGTCTTTACAGCACATGCACGATCTGGGCCTTCTCACTACTGCACGTGGGGCCTGATGGTATGCCCCTGTGTGCCTTCCCTTGGCATACAAAAGTACCTGTTTCGTGTCCTTCCTTGATGCCTCCTGTGACTGGTTGTGGGGACAGAATCAGCGCATGCAGAAGTTACCAGATTGGAGCTCCTCACCTTTGACCTAGTGTTCAGCAGTGCATCCAGGGAGAGATTCTCTGAGGGGTTTGAAGAACGACACCAGATGCTCAGGCCCTGGAGGAGATGGGAGTAGGAGTACCAAAAGAACTGTCCAAGAAAAGAAAACTTAACTCACAGGCCAAAGAAGCAACCAATGGATGCCTGTGGATACCCAGAAAGAAACAGAAAGGAGAGGCATGATCTTCCCCACATCTGTGGACAGAGGGGCTTTTAACCCACTGGAAAGGAGAAAGTCTGGATTTCAGTGAGCAAAGACTCCATCCCAAGGAAGGAGTAAGTAGGGCCAGCTGTCTTTAATTCCAGCACTCAGTGAGGTGCAGGCCAGCTAAGGCTACATGGTTAAGGAAGGAAGGATTCAGGGGACCACAAAAGCTATCCCTGAAGATGAAGGAGTGAGCTGAGGGATGTGTCAGTGGAAGAGACAGAATAGAAGCTCTGAGGATTTGGAGGGTTCCCATAGCCTGAAGTTAATTGATTAGAATCCACTTTTCTTAGTTCCCTTCAGCTTTGGCATTCCGGGGTCTCTGGCTTTCTTTCCCTCAGTGGCTCAATTTCTAACTCAGTGTAGGTGGCACTTATGGTATATCCAGCTCTAACATTATCCCTTAATTTCTTTGTAGAGGTGGCTACCATTGCTTGAAGGTTGAGGACTGAAAACAGGTTGTGGAATAAAGTGGAATACAAGTTAAAGAGCCCCCTTTGCCCCTGTTTCCTGAGCATGTGCAGGGTGGGTGTGTACTAGGAGAGGGTGTGCACTAGGCATGGGACCAGCCTTTTCTCTAGTAGCCCGGTTAAGCCCTGCTACACCCTTCCATCAATGGAAGTTGTTTGTTGAGAATGAAAAACAAATTGCCCATTTGGAAAGGGCTAGCTAGAAATTGAATCTAGGTCTGTTTCTTTCCAGGGAGTGTACACTTCCCTTTGTGTTATAAGATGTGAATGCGCTATGTAGTTTTGCTCATCTGGGGATAACAGTTGTTGGGAAACCTCAGGCTGGTAACACCAACTGTGATACCAGCTGTCCCTGTGACTCATGCAGATGCTAAAGCCAGTGGGGCTGAGGTGACAGACTGAGCCCCAGCTTGCTTGCTCCTGTCACAGTACAGACTTAAACTGTTTCAAATTGTATTTGAAATATTGTATGTATTTTCTATGTCTAGGGTAAAAACTCCCCCACATCCAGAAACTTCATGGGATTGGTACCCTGTCCTTCAGGTGCATCCAGTAGAGGCAACCAGTGATCTGGGTTTTCTGTTAATCATTCCTTTGCTTTTCTTTATGGTTTCTGTATCTTTTGCTGGAAATTCCTAGTGTATTTTACTTTAAAAAAAAAATGAAGTGGCAAGCTAAACATACTGATGTCAAGGGATAGCAATATTACTTTTTCTTCTTAGATGGAGGCTTCCAGGTCAGAGCAACTTACCAGGGTCTTGGGATGTGGCCTGGCTTCTCCTTCCTTGGGAGTCAATCAGGGACCTGCTAGTAGGTCAGTGACAAGGTCATTGGTGAGTGTAGGGTAATCCTGGGTTTTTTCAAGCTGGAACATCTGGCAGAGGTGATGTGAAGCACGAGGGAAAGATGCCTGGGAATGTGATCTGAGGTAGTGGGCTGTGCTCCCCAGACTCTGCTCTGAGCTCATTAAAGAGCTGGTCCTGGCTCCCAGGGACAGGTCGCACTTCTGAGGACACCACCATTGTTTTCAGCTGGGCTGGCTGACTCCAGTTTGGTAGACCATACATCCCCTCGTCTGTTTAAAAATTGAATTTTCTGAGTGTCTAAATCTTCCCTCATAGTTGACTGACAGCTTGACTAGGGATACAGTCCAAGTGTCACATCCCAGATACTTGGGAGTCTGGGCAGGAGAATAAACGTTAAGGACTATGTGTGCTGCCGAGTGAGTCGGTTTAAGGATGGTCTGGTCAATTTGGTGAGACCCTGTCAAAGTAGAAGGCTCTGGAGCTCTCCTGAGTAGTGGAGAGCTAACATGTGGTGCCCCAGGCTTTATTCCAGCACTGAAAACACGAGAACAAGCATTCTGGCCATCATTTTCCTTCGGAATGTTGATGGCATTACTCCACTATCTTCCCTGTTTAGTGCCTCCATAAACACTTCAAAGACCATTTTCTGTCTCTTTCTGAAACTAGTCAACATTTCTTTTAGTCCATAGTATGCTGAATTTGTGTGATCATCTACCTTGGCTGCACATTGTAGACCAGGCTGGGGTTGAACGCACTGCCTGCCTGCCTCTGCTTCCCTAGTGCTGGGATTAAAGGTGTGCACCACCAACTCCAGGCCTTGCTTCCTTCTCTCTTTCTGAAACTACAGCTGCTTGAATGCTGGAGTTTCTAGATGATGAATCCTCTAGTTTTCTCCCCATTTTCATTCCTGTTTCATTTTTTTTTTATTGTTGTTATTGCTGTCGTTTTTGAGACAGGATCTTACACTGTAGTCCAGTCTGGCTGGAACTTTTATGTAGCACAAATTTGGGGCAATCCTCATTCTTTAGCCTCCCAAGTACTGGGACTACAGGTACAAGCAGCCACAGCCAACTTTGTGTTGTTTTTGGTACGGAATTTCAATTCTGAACTCTTGAAGTTTCCATCTTTGCTTACATTTGCAGTGTGTAAAGCTTTTTACTGCTCCTTTATTACAGTGTCTTGCTCTTGTTTTAGGGATATACTCTTTTATGTAGATAGACATAATGACATCAGTAGTTGGGTTTTTTTTTGTGTGTATGGTTGGTAGGATTGTTTTATTCATGCTACATATATCTTCGTGTTAGGGATGGAACCCGGAGCTTCGCTAATGCTGAGCAATGCTCTACCACTGTTTGACATCATCGCACCCAGCATAAATCTTTGAACCTTCAAAGATTTCCCTTTCCCCACCGATTTGGCTCTGACCTCCCATATCTGACACTTTCTTTGGGCATTGGGAAGCCTTGGTTGTCTGTCTTATTATTAAAATGACAGATTTTGAAACTCACTGAGCAAGCAGGTGAAACCTCCCTGCTGTGACCTCTACAATAGACAGGAAATGGCAGTGTTTCTAGCCATAGATCTTCCTTCCTGGCTTTACAAAGTTCCTCAAATAGGAAGTCTCCTGCCTGGTGTAAAGGTCTAATTGTAGAGAAGCCTGGAGGATGAGTGGTTTGGGTAGTGGCAAAGTAGCCTTGGCATTCATTTTGTATGTAGTCATTTAAACCTGGCTTTGGGATGGGGCAGCCACTCTTTAGTTGTGCCAGGGTTCTCCCAGTACTGGGATCCTCTTTCATCCTATCAGAGTGCAGGTCTCCAGGCTGCCATGGCAGCAGGCAGGGACAGCATCTAGTGGGATGGGAAGAAAGCCTGGTGATTCCTGTCAAACTCTTTGACTTGTTTCTTACCTTCATTGTCTCCTTGTGTTACAGACATACCTGATGCTGCCATGCCAGAGCTCTTGGGGGGACTGTAGGATGCCCATGGCATGCTTTTCCATTGCAACATTCTTGTTTTAGGGTTTAGACTTCAGGAGTCTTCTATCATCCACCCATGTATCCATGAATCCAACCACCCATGTATCCATCCATTCCTCCATCCATCTGTCCACCCACACCCACACCCATACCCACATCCATCCATCTATCCATCCATGCCTCCTCCATCCAGTGAGTCCTTTCATACTGCCTCTGTCATCGTGACTCTCTCAGTGAACAAAACAGAAAACCTTATTGCGCAGATGTTCACTTTTCAGCTGGGGATAGACCATAGCAGAAGGGAGCAAGCAAACTGTTCAGTTAGTGAAGGAGTGAAGTCTGTCTGTTGAGAGTTCCCAGGGTGGGAAGTAGTGATTTCATTTTCCCATAGGGTTGTTGGAGAGGTCTCATTGAGGGAAGACTTAAAGTGGGTGAGAGAGTTAGGCAGACACTGGTGGGGGTTAGCACTCTAAATAGAGATGTAGTCAGCAAACGTTCTCAAGTAGGAACATACTGGGCATGTTCATTAAATGGGAGGGAGGCCAGTGCTAAGTGGAACATTCAAGGGGAAAAAAGGAGGCAGTCAGGAAGAGATGTGATCTGGGTCCTCAGGGTCACCGGTGAGGATATTTATCTGCTTTGGATCTTACCAAGGAAATTAGCTATATTCACAAAAACATAGGCAATAGATAATTCCACATTACCAAAAGCCAAAAAAAAAAAAAAAAAAAAAAAAAAAGGTAAACACACACACACATAATACCATCATCACCAAATCCAAAAATAACAGGAATCAATGGTCATTAATATCTCTTAATATCAATGTTTTTAATTCACCTATAAAAAGACACAGGCTAACAGAATGGATACGAAGACAGAATCCATCCTTATGCTGCACACAAGAAACACGCCTCAATTTCAAAGACAGATATTACCTCAGAGTAAAATGTTGGGAAAAGATTTTCCAATCAAATAGACCTAAGAAACAAACTGGTGTAGCTATCCAAAAAAATCTAAAAAATAGACTTCAAACTAAAATTAATCAAAAGAGATGAAGAAGGGCATTTTATATTCATCACAGGAAAAATCCATCAAGATGAAGTCTCAATTCTGAACATCTATGCCCCAAATACAAAGGTACCCACATTCCTAAAAGTAACATTACTAAAACTTAAATCGCACATAAAACCCCACATACTTACAGTGGGAGACTTCAACACCCCACTCTCAGCACTGAACAGGAATACCAGACAGAAACTTAAGAAATAAAGAAACTAACAAAAGTTAAGACTCAACTGTGTTTAGTGGACCTCTATAGAAAATTCCATCCAAACACAAAAGGATATAACTTCTTCTTAGCACCCGAATGGAACCTTCTCTAAAATCAACCACATACTCAGCAACAAAGCAAACCTCAACAGATAGAAAAAAATTGAAATAACTCCCTGTATCTTATTGGATCACTATGTTTAAAGTTAGAATTCAGCAACAACACAAATTGCAGAAAGCCTACAAACTCATGGAAATTGAACAATGCACCACCCCTGGGTCAAGGAAGAAATAAAGAAAGAAATTAAAGACTTTCTAGAATTCAATGAAAATGAAGACACAACATACCCAAACTTGTGAGACACTTTGAAAGCAGTGCTAAGAGGAAAGTTCATAGCTCTAAATGCCTACATAAAGAGAGTTTACCACTGGACATGGGCTGTAGCAGGGAATTTATGGTAAGGCTGTGAGGTTTGACTAACCTGTTTAAGTACTCAACTCTGACCATGAAGCAATCTCCTCTGGCTGTGGTGCTGGGGATAGGCTGTAGGCAGAGGCAGTATAGCAATAGGCAGTTATGCAGTTTCTATGTGAGCCACAGCATGCCTTGGAGCAGTAGGGCTCATGTGTGCAGTAGGGCTCCATGGCTTGCAGATATCAGCTTCCGGGTGGCTGCTGAGCATGGCCACACAGCTGGGCCACACCACGAGTCTAAATGTAATAGCTGTGGAAGACTTAACAGAAAAAAAACAACGCATTTCACTATTTTTTATGCTGACAGTTAGTTGAAATGGCAATATTTTGGATGTTATGGTTAAGTGTGATTTGTGACTAAGCTTAAGTGTACCTATTACTTGTCACTGAAGAATGTGGCTGTTAGGAGGCTCCAGTGTACATGTAACTTTTTTGTATGCCTTTGGCTCTGTTTCTGTCGGGCAACCTGATCCTTTGATGGTGGGGGCCACAGGATGTGTTGATGAAGTGCAGAGAAGGAACTTGGGCTAAAAAGCTAGAAGGGTGGAGGAGACTTGAGCAGGGAGGAGAAAGGCTATGGGCCGGACATAAGTGTCCAGCATGTATGTCCAGTGTGTGTGTGTGTGTGTGTGTGTGTGTGTGTGTGTGTGTGTGTGTTTATGACACATTTAAGTGGAGGAAGAAAATGGGCAGTTGGGTGTGCAGATCCCAGACTCAGGAGACAGTTGAGGTTGGGAAATAGTGGGTTGTATGTAGAGAGAGAGTTCAAACATCCAGGCCTAGGACTTGGTGAGGCCCCTGTCTTCCAGGTGGTCTACAGCTTCCAGAATCATTTTCTGGTTTTGTAGGTTGGTAGATTTAGGTGTTTACTTATCTTGTCTTATTTTATTTCATTTTTAGCCATTCATTCTTTCAGTGGAATGGGAGAAAGAAAGTGGAAAGGCTGGCTGTGTGTTTATTTCACCAACCACGACTACATATCTTTGTTTGCTAAATGCAGGCTGTGTCACAGTTGTTTTTCTGGGCTCTTGTTTTGATAGAAGAGGACTGTGTATAAAATTGTATTATTGGTGAAGTTTCTTTTATCTTAAATGCTTGGCACCAGAAGTGTTTCAGATATCTGGGGGGGGGGGTTAGAATATTTCCATAAACAATGAATATCTTGGCAGTTCAACCCATGTCTAACCACAAAAGCCATTTATATTTCATATACACATGGCCTGGAGGTAATTTTACACAATGTTTTAATTTTCCATTTGTAGCATCATGTCAGCACTCAAAAGGTTTTGGATGTGTTAAGAGCATTTAGATTTGGGGGGTCTTCTGATTAGGGTTGTCTAACTCTTAATAGAAACCATCCCACACTCCGCCTCCATCAGTCTTCTTGAAAAAAGTAATGGCCTTTTCTTGGTCTGTAGGCAAGAAGGCTGCTTGACCTTGCCACGGTGAAGGCAAATGGACTGGCTGCCTTCCTTCTTCAGCACATCAAGGAATTACCTTCACCATCCCTGCCTTATGAAGGTATGTATTTGTCCCTTCTGGTTAACCGGAAAAGAAAAGGAAGTCAACTCAGATCCCTGGTTAAAGAGCAAAGCACACGTCAGTTACCGTCCACGTGTTGGTGCGTTATTCCCCCAGAATCAGTTCCTCCGTTTGAAACCTACCAGCTATCTGACTCATTTGGCAGCAGTGACTAGTCAGAGTGTGACAACATAACAGCTCTCCTCCTTTCAGTGCTCCCTCAAAACTACACAGTGCCCACTGGAGCCATGGTGTATGGACAGCCAGCATGCATGTACCTCGCTGTCCAGGCTGCACTCCACACCGGGCACAGGTAGGGCTGGGATCTTAGTTTCTCATGAGCTGGAACTCATAACCATAACTACATAGAGAATGTAGTCTCGTCCATGTTTGTGCTCACCAGCTGAGTTTGCAAGAGGCCTGGGTGGTGCAGCTGAGACATGCCAGGCAGCCTGCCCCATGTGCCTTATGGGCATTCTCTACCACTTGCCAACCGTCCTGGGAAGTGGATATCGCTATGTTCCATTTCATAGATAGGAAAACTGAGACTTGACTAGTAAGGAACAGGAAACTGGGTCTGACTGTAGTGTCCCTACCTTCCCTGCTTGGGAGAAGAAATCATCAACTGCAGACAGGATACAAGCCTGGTACTCTCCTGGTCTTATTCCCACATGACACAGAAGGAAGCTAATGTGAACTGAAGGTCCAGGAACTATGTGCCCTGAGCTAAGAGATGTGCTTATCATTCTGGCCTTGTCCTCTGTGCAGAAGAAAGCCTGTGGGCAGGATGGCTGGAGGCCCATGCTTGGACTCAGGTGCAAGCTATTTCATACCAGAGCAGGATGTGGGCATCACTGTGTGGTAGCCAGTATGGGCCTTGGTGAGCATTTGCTGACAGTGTCATCAAGTATAGCTGTCCATATAGGCATTATACAGTTCCCTGATTTGAGATGCTTCTAAAGATGACAACTGAGCAGGTTTGCAGACACCTTGGGTAGAGACAGAAAGATCAGGAGTTCAAGGTCATCTTCTAGTACAATAACAAGTTGGAAGCTATGAGACCCTATCTCAAGAAAAAAAAAAAAGTAAAAATTGTGTTTATGCTCTTTAAAATGAAAATGTGAGATATTCTTTAATTTACTTTATTTTCATGTTACATTTATTTACTTATCTACTTATTTTTATCTCTCTCTCTCTCTCTGTGTGTGTGTGTGTACACATGCATTTGAATGCACCATGGCATGCAAGTAGAAATCAGAAGACAACCTTCAGGGGTTGGCTGTCTCCCTCCACCATATGGATTTTGGGGGTTGAACTCAGATCATCAGACTTGGTGACAAGTGCTTTTACCACCCTACCCCCTATTGTGCCATCTTGCCAGGCCTATGTTTGTTTGAAGCTTTTAGTAATATTAGTAATGGCCAGAGACTGGCATTGTAAGTCAGAAAATTGGAAAGGAGGCTGTGTATCTTTTAGTGTTTGGTCAATGCTCCTGATATAGCCAAAGAGTAGAAAGAGCCACAAGGATCTTTACTATTGGGAACAAGAGACATTGAATACTGGATGTGGTGGCACATCCTCTAATCCCAGCTCATAAGGAGTTCTAGGCAGAAAGATTGCTAGTTTGAAGCTGGTCCAGGCCCCATAGTGAGATCCCATATCAAAAAAGAAAATAAAAGGAAGAGTTACTAGCATGGGGTACCTGCTTTGCTTGGCTCTGTAGGTACTTCTGTGAGCTATGAGCTCCTGGACAAGAACTTGCTTGCCTCTGCATTGAGAATAAATGGGCCCGTGTTTTATTGGGGCCACTGAGGCCATAGTGTGGTGAAGATGCTGGCATCCTCTGACGTCCTGCCAGCCTGGGCCTCTGACTAGCCCTTCCTATTTCCTGAAAGGGGAACTGAGCTCTCAGGGGGAAGTGTTTTGCACAGGCAATAGGGCCCTGGGTGCAGAGGGGCAGGAGGAGGAAGGGCAAGAAGGAAGTATCAGAAGATCTTGTTGAGGACTTGGCATAGGTGCTTGGTGACCCTGAGTTCCCAGAGTTGACCTCTGCTTCTGGCCAGTCCATTTAACCATATAAGGTAACACAGCTGTGGGTTCTGGAAATTGAATCTGGACATTGTCTGTGGCCACTTTCCCTGTTGTGGTATGGAATACTTGACAGAATTAACTCGAGAAAGGAAGGCTTGTTTTGGGTCCCATTTTAGGACTGTCCGTGGTGGCTAGGAGGATTAGTGGCTGGTGCAGCTTGACCCAAGAACTGGTGACACAAAAGGCTGATTTTGTTAAGGCCACAGATGGGAAGCAGAGAGCTCAGGTAGAAGTAGGGCAGGCTGTAACCTTTGAGTCCTACCCCCAGGGGGCCATGTCAGCCAGCTAGCCCTGTATCCTAAATGTCCCACATCTACCAAAACAGTACTATCATCTGGGTGCCAAACATTCAGACACATAAGCCTGTGAAGACATTTCAAATAAGGCCTTAGTAGTCCCCATTTCTATAGATAGGAAAACTGGATCCTAGCAAGGCCATGTAGCTTGCCAAGCAGGCAGTAGGCCCAGGTGTCAGACTTCAGAACTTGGACATCTAAGCCCTGTCCCCTATTTTCCGTCAGAAACTGCGGTGGTGGGGGGGAATGAATGGTGTCTCAGGCCACCCAACAGAAATAGACAATCAGGATATAGATCCTGTGAGAAATACCCTCCCTGGCACTTTCAAGGTGTACATATTAAGTATGACAGTGACCAATGAATGTCTCTTTGTTGGATGCTATACTTACCAGGTGCCATGAATCATCCCTGTTGCCCATGTCAATGTTCTCTGACATTTCCTGCTTTGCAGGGGAAGAACCAGGTTTAGGAAGCTTCTATGGCTGTCCCCAAAGCCCACAGCTTATAAGTAGACGAGACAGTATAGATGCCCACTAGCTCTTCTTTCTGAGCCACACATTACATCCCCCGTGTAGGTTACTCTCTGCACAGGCCCCATTATGACCACAATCCCACCCTCATTTGCCTCTTCTGTATCCCAGCTGCTGAGTGTCAGAAATTCATATCGAAGCTGAGGACCATGGTGTCAGCCCAGTCTCGCTTCCTCAGTACTTATGATGGGTCAGAGAGTCTTTGCCTGGAGGATATATACACGGAGAACATCTTGGAGCTGCGGACAGAGGTGGACATGGCTGGGGCCCTGCAGAAGAGCCCTGCCATCCTGGGCCTGGAGGAACTCTTTGGTACCCATAGCCATCTTAACAAAGATGCAGACACTGTGTTGGTGGTGGGTGAAGCAGGCAGTGGCAAGAGCACTCTCTTGCAGTGGCTGCACTTGTTGTGGGCGACAGGGCAGAACTTTCAGGAGTTTCTCTTCGTTTTCCCGTTCAGCTGCCGGCAGCTACAATGCATGGCCAAACCGCTGTCTCTAAAGATGCTGCTCTTTGAGCATTGCTGTTGGCCTGATGTTGGTCAGCATGATGTCTTCCAATTCCTCCTTGACCATCCTGACCGTGTCCTGTTAACCTTTGATGGCTTGGATGAGTTCAAGTTCCGGTTCACAGACCGGGAGCGTCATTGCTCTCCAACTGACCCCACGTCAGTCCAGACTCTGCTTTTTAACCTTCTTCAGGGGAACCTGCTGAAGAATGCTCGCAAGGTGCTGACCAGCCGTCCAGATGCTGTGTCAGCTCTCCTCAGGAAGTTTGTCCGGACAGAATGCCACCTCAAGGGCTTCTCGGAAGAGGGGATTGAACAGTACCTGAGAAAGCACCACCGGGAACCTGGGGTAGCAGATGGCCTCATCCACCTGCTCCAAGCCACATCAGCCTTGCATGGTTTGTGCCATCTCCCTGTCTTCTCATGGATGGTGTCAAGATGCCACCAGGAACTGTTGTTGCAGAATGGGGGGTTCCCAACGACCAGCACAGATATGTACCTCTTGATCCTACAGCATTTCCTGCTGCATGCCTCCCCTCCAGATTCCTCCTACCCCCTCAGTCTGGGACCTGGTCTCCTTCAGAGCCGGCTCTCCACCCTCCTGCACCTTGGCCACCTGGCTCTCCAGGGCCTGGCCCTGAGCTGCTACGTATTCTCAGCCCAGCAGCTCCAGGCGGCACAGGTTGACTCTGATGATATTTCTCTTGGTTTCCTGGTACGCGCCCAAAATGTTGTGCCCGGGAGCAAGATGCCCCTGGAATTTCTACACATTACCTTCCAGTGTTTTTTTGCTGCATTCTACTTGGTAGTCAGTCCAGACACATCAGTAGCCTCACTCAGACACCTCTTCAGCTGTGGCCGGCTGGGCAGCTCACTGCTGGTTAGACTGCTGCCCAGTCTGTGTATCCAGGGCTCCAGAGTCAAGAAGGGCAGCAAAGCGGCTCTACTACAGAAGGCTGAGCCACACAACCTACAGATCACAGCAGCCTTTGTAGCAGGTCTGTTGTCCAAGGAGCACTGGGACCTGTTGGCCGCATGCCAGATCTCTAAGAGGGTGCTGCTCCAGCGCCAGGCATGTGCCCGCTCATGTCTGGCCCAAAGCCTTCGTGAACACTTCCACAACATCCCACCTGCCGTGCCAGGTGAAGCCAAGAGCATGCATGCCATGCCTGGCTTCATTTGGCTTATCCGGAGCTTGTATGAGATGCAGGAGGAGCAATTGGCACAGGAGGCTGTGCGTCGATTGGACATTGGGCACCTGAAGTTGACGTTTTGCAGAGTGGGCCCTGTAGAGTGTGCTGCCCTGGCCTTTGTGCTGCGGCACCTCCAGCGACCTGTGGCCCTGCAGCTGGACCACAACTCTGTTGGAGATGTAGGAGTGGAACAGCTGCTGCCCTGCCTTGGTGTCTGCAAAGCTCTGTAGTGAGTGTGACCAGGTCTTGCTGGTTAGGCCTGTGGCAGATGCTACTGTCAAGTTTAGATGTAGAAGCCTAACACAAAGTTGAGAACCAGAAGGCTGGGCCAATCCCAGGTCCACCACCCTTCATAAACCAGCCAGACCCTTTGTTCTTCTGGACCTTAGTTTCAATACAGATAATGGTAGGCATTGTTCTAGTTTGTTTCTGTTGCTGTGATAAACTATTCTGACCAAGAGCAACTTAAGGCCGAATCTTACAGGTTTCAGTCAATCATCTATGGAGCCAGGGCAGGTGTGTGAAGAGGAAACTATGGAGGCATGCAGCTTATTGGCTTGCTTCTTCTGGCTTGCTCAGTTAGCTTCTTTATATACCCCAGGTTCACCTGCATAGGGAAAGTATTACCCACAGTGGGCTGGGCCCCCCTCCATCAATTAGCAATCAGGAAATGTCCCATAGACATGCCCACAGGCTGATCCGATGGTGTATCAAGTTGTAGTTTTGTGCTAGACACTGTGTTATACTTTCCAGAGTGACCCCATCTGTCCCCACAACCATACTGGGCTCAGAAGGGCCATCGGCACCCCCATAATCCTTTACTTGAGGCTCACAGGAGTCCAGTAGCTTGTGCAGAATCATACAGGAAACAAGGGTGGCTTTCACAAATCATGTCTTTCTGGTTCTAGGTCTCCTGGTCCCTGTCTGTGGGTGCACTTCTAATGCTCTGGGAAAGTCTTGAAGTCCCATGCAAAGTTTTGTGTCTGTATTGGGGACCACTTTAAATCAGAAGTGATTTAAACCCCATCAGTCTTTAAAATCTCACCAAGATGAGAATTTCAGGTCTTGAGAGAAAGTGGTTGGACAACTTTCCGTTGCCCATATGTTCCATGCCTGACCTGAGGTTCTGCTCTTTGGAACATCTGTGCTCTCGAAGTGTGAACCCCTGTCCATGTCTGGGGTCAGACAAAGGCAGAGGGTGTGCCCAGGCCTGGTAACAAGCATGACCGCAGCTCCCAACTTCCCTTCTCGTTTGTCTAGAGAGGGGATGTCCTGCTATTTTTTAGAGCCTACCAGGAAGAGGAAGTTGTACATTACAGTTAAGATCTAGAAACAGACTCCTTACAGATAACCTTAAGTGAATTTAGCACAAGGTAAGATTCTTGTGTGATTAGGATGGCTTATCAGCTCTGAGACAATGCCACAACACAGATACTGTGTGAAACTGTGGTGACTTGACTAATCTTTATACAGGTACCATGGTTGCAAGTTTATAACATCATGTAATATACAATATATGGAGTTGATATATAGCTCTATTGTGTACAATAACTATATACTAGAAATATGAATAGCTCCATCTGGTTCTTGAGGAAATAGATACTACACTTGAGTTGGGAAGTAGGAAGAAAGTCTATGGAAGTGACTGCAGAATTGTGGATGGGGATTAGGAAGGGCTCTAGAGAAGGGCCTGAAGCAAGGGAGGATTTACTGGCTGAGAGACCTGGAGTGAGGCATTAGGAAGGGATGCATCTGAGGTTAGAAAGCCTGGCCCTTTCTTTCTGCCTCTTTGTCTTTCCAGAATTGTGCCTCTTCTGGCTGAGCCCAGCAGGGAGGCTGAGCCTGTCTCATGTCATCTTAGGGTATCTGCCTCCCAGTCAAGAGCTAAGATAAGAGCATGGATCCGACCAGGAAAATGAGAGGATATGGTCTGTACCATGGCCATTTTTCTTGGAAGGGAGCAACACCTCGACTGGGAACTTCCACACTTGGGTGTTGAAGGTGCTCTGGGAAATATGAGTATGCACTTTTCTTGATAGTGGGTCCACACTTTTAAACCATGAACCTCCGAGGACCAGATACATGGGTCTTGATGATCATGAGAGCAAGTCATCTCTGGGTTTCTTTTTTTAAACGAGGCCTCAGCCAGTACACCCTGATCTCAGACCCAAGGTCTTTCAGCCCCCAATTCCCCAGTACCGGAGTTCAGATACTGTATACCAAGCTCAGCGCCTGTCTCTAGACATTTCAATGGTCCTTTCTCCATGATTGAGAATGTTCATAGGATCCTATGACATGCTAATGTGCCCAGGGGTTTGGAAGATTATGGGTCTTTCTGTTTCAGAGAAAGGGACTGCTGGCCTGGTTCTAGTTCCTGGTGGTTAAACAGTGTCAGAAAAAGATGCTGGGCTGAAGTAATTCCTGTCATGTAGGCTTAGGCTTGGGGCTCAGGAAACTGGGTAGCAAGCATCACTGCTGACTCAGATACCAGAAGTCTTACCCTGTGCAAATATGCAGGAGTCAGCATCTTTTACCTTGAGCAGTTGCCCTACATGGATGTATGGCCCTGGGGGATCCATGTGTCGGGAGGTGTAAGAAGTGGGGCATTGTGGGAGTCCATAGGTTATTGAAAGTGTGTCCTTATATTGGGTTATTGGAGCCCAGCTCTTTTTTTTTTTTTTTTTTTTTTTTTTTTTTACACTTTATTCCCTGGCTGGAGATATACACTCTTTTCCTCCTTCAATATTCAGCCATGATGTGATGCCTCGACACAGGTCCCAAAGCAATAAGGCCAACTAATGGATTGACATCTCCAAAAGTGTGTGCTACAATGACCCTTTTCACTTTACTAGTTAATCACCTTAGGGATTTACATTAGAAAGAGAAAGCCAATTGGAACACAGCTGTTAAAGCCCTTGACCAAGCTCTACTATTCTTAGTCTGTGTACAACCAAGAAGTAGTTGGCACTTCGTGTGTGTGTGTGTGTGTGTGTGTGTGTGTGTGTGTGTGTGTGTGTGTACACAGCACACAGCCATAAAGAGGGAGGGAAGAAAGTGGAAGAAGGGGCAGGTGTCTCTCCCACAGCGTGAGTCTGCATCTTTTCCAGTGGAAGGGTTTCCATGCCAACTGAAGTCCTTGTTTCTAAGAAACCCTACATGCAAAGTGCTGCTCTGCAGGTTTCTTTAGACTCTGCTCTCTGCCTTGAGGGTGATGGTTTCAGTTTTGTGTTGCACTCAGAGGGAGAGATTGCACAGGCATGGGCACATGGGAGCTTTGTGAAAAGACTTCCCTTAACTCCAACTCATTCTGCTTTCTTTTTTAAAAAAATAATTCATCTCTTTTATGTGCTTTGGTGTTTTCGCCTGCGTGTGTGTCTGTGTGAGGGTGTTGGGGCCCCTGGAATTGGAGTTACAGACAGTTGTGAGCTGCCATGTGGGTGTTGGGAATTGAACCTGGGTACTCTGGAAGACTGTTAAGAGTAGTCAGTGCTCTTAACCAATGAGCCGTCTCTCCAGCCCCTCACTCTGCTTTCTTTCATCTGTTCTATTTCAGCTCTTAAATCCTGCTCAGGCCTTTCAGAATTGTCCGTGGAAACACTAATAAGTCATATAACCAGCAGTTGGAAAATCATTTTTCTGAGAGCCCGAGAAAAGCCTTGGGGAAGCTGCACAGTGCTGTACTTAGGGCAGGCTGGCAGCCGGACTGTCTAGGCTCAACCCTTTCAGTACTGAAGTCAGGTCTCTTACTCATAGTCCCTCTCTTGAGGACTTAACAGTAGGACCTACTGCATGGGCTTGGAGGTGAGAGTAGTAGTGATGTATTAGAGCAGTGCCAGGCACCTGGGATGTACTTGTGATTTCAGGTGGCTGTGGCCAGATGTGGTGCTCAGGGGGCTGAACGAGTACAGTTTGCTAAGGATGGCCATTTCTTTCTTGCAGATGAAGCAATTCTAATTGTCTGAATGAGGATGCTCCCCCATAGGGGCAGGTATTTGAACCCTTGGTACCCAGTTGGCAGTGATGTTTGGGGAAGGTTTAGGAGGTACAGCCTTGCTGGCAGGAGTGTCACCAAGGGTGGGCCATGAGGGTTTGTAGAGTCTTGCCAGCTGGAGTTCCCTTTCTCTTTGTGCTCTCCATTGAAGACACTCATGAAGGCTCTCATGCTCTGGCCTCCATGCCTACCTAATGGTGCCGTGCCTCCCTTCCATGATAGTCTCCTATCCTTCTCACCCCACAAGCCAAAATAATACATTCTTGCTTCCATTAAGTTGTTCTTTGGTTCATGGTGGTTTATCACAGCAATAGAAAGAAAGATAGGGCAGTTTGTAAATAGCTGATCCAAGTCAGGACATCCAGCCAAGGGGCACTAGCACCTGAGCCAGAAACCGTCTAGCCAGGACTACCTGTTTGCCTGACAGCAAAGAATGGTGGGCATGGCTGTTGCATATACAGGTTTCTGATTTCATTGAGTACAGATTCATGGGCTGCCAGCTCCATGCAGGAGACTGAGAAGCCACATTGTAGGGAAGCTTTCAGAGGACCCTGTGATCCAGGGTCCCTGGAAGAGCTGGAGGGGCTTGCCCATAGTCAGGGCTTTGATGGACAAAGGGAGGTGAGCAGTGCTCACAAACCCAGGAATGTTTCTAAGGTGTGAGCCACTGTGTCTATCTCATTGGTCTGCCATCTGCTTGCTAGGTGATTCTGTCCTGTTCCACCTCACACCTCTGTGAGGTAATTGTCATGGTCACTATCCTTCTGCAAAGATGGGAACTGGGCTTGGAATTAACTCCATGACCTTTTGAAAACCCCAGTGTTCTTTAGTCAAGGCTCAAGGTCCTCACTCCTTGGACTGTCCCCTACTATCAGCTCCCCTGCAGAGATGGGGGACATGGGGCGCTCTTCCCTTCTGGTTTTGGAGATGAGTCTCTTTATGGGTTTCTCTTATCTGCTCTGCTTTTAACTGAACCAATGATGTCTTTTTCAGTTTGCGAGATAACAATATCTCAGATCGAGGTATCTGCACACTGATTGAGTATGCTCTCCACTGTGAGCAGCTGCAGAAGCTGGCGTGAGTTGAACCGGGCATGGCCACTGAGGCAGCTATGGGTGGGTGATGGGGTGGACCAGATTTGACCTGGCTGGAGGATGCAGGGTGGCTCCTGCGTAGAGAGGAAGACACCCTGGTTAGCTTGCTGGTCATGTACTTTGTGTCCATCTTCCCTGGAACCCAGCAGTCTCTTCAACAACAAGCTCACGGATGGCTGTGCGTACTCCATGGCCAAGCTCCTTGCACACAGGCAGAACTTCTTGTCACTGAGGTGAGTGCTGACTTCCCTTATTCTCTGAATCTGATGTTCCTCATAGCTGAGTTCAGGTGATGTGGTCTGAACCATGGTGTGACCAACAGTGGCTGGTGATCCTTGATTGCATCCAGGAAAGGGCCTCATGTGAGCTGTTTCTACTCTACTTAGAGGCTGAGGACCTCCTGTCTTTTGGACATTTGGTCTCCAGAGTGGGTAGTTTCTAGGCCTTTCTCCCCCTCAGTGTCTATGAAGATTTCAAGTTCTCCCTGATGCACACCAAACTGTGCTTCCTACTGCAGCTGTGGTGCCCAGTTGCTGGATAGTACCCCACTGTTTCCTCAGCACTCATTAGGCAAACTTTGAAATTCCACTTGATGTTCCTGCCCTCAACTTGAATCCTTTGCCTACCAGAGATCAATAGATACATCCAAGTCCCTAGTGCCTCACTCTAAGTCTCTCGATGGTCATGCTTCTTATGATTTGTGATACAGTAGCAAAGACAGGGAGGAACTGCTTCCGTCTGTTGTTTTATGTATTTATTTTGCTGCCTTTGGGGATGAGGGATGCCATTTTCAAATTTTGTCATTTAGATTGTCTCAGATAGGGCTACAAAGGTCAAGGCCACAGGTACACCTTTGTCCTGAAAGCTCTGTTCTGTCATAGCCACCTGTTCCCCTGGTCCAGCCATCTAGGGAAGTCAGTGGGTAGCATGGGCTATGGGTCTCAGAACTGGAGGACTAGGTTTGTGGCCAGCACATGTTGCTTTCACTATGGCTGAAAGCAGGGGCTCTGGAGCCAGGATGTGCCCTGGTATAAATCTAGAAATGCAGAGATGTGAACTCTTATTAGCTACATGACCTTGGGTCAGATAATGTTCTCTCCTGTCTTTCCTTAAAATGGGGATCATAGTTAGAGTCATCTGAAAGGCTGTCACGATGGAGTTAACACACAGAACAAGCTGGTACAGTACATGCTTTATATAGTAAGCTCAGAGACTGAAGGATCGTGGGTAAATTATGTAAGCATCCAGCTTGAACATCCTTATGTTAGTTCAGTCTTCAGAGAAGGGATTATATGAGCAGAAAATGCCCATGGGTGGGGAGATGGGGAGGGAGCTGTGGAGGCTGGGGACTAACCCTGCTTGAAGGAAGGAGATGGATGGGAGGAAGGATTTTGGACTTTGGTGCAGCTCTGGGAGAGTTCATGAAACCACTGGGGTGCTCTCAAACCTTATTTTCCCAGCAAAAGTCTCAGGTTATTTTCTTGGTACCACATGCTTTCTGAAATGAGATAGTCATACCTACCCTGTATGACTGCAGTGATCCAGAGTGACTTAAAGTGCCTTGAAAAGATGAAATTGTATTTATTCCAGAAGGCTTGTCAATGGGTGGCAGCTCTGAACCGTTGGTGGGCTAGATTCGGTGATGCTAGAGCCTTTCTGTGGTCTTGTCCTTATTAATTGCCACACCCCTTTGGTCCTGCCTTTCTTCCCTCCTGCAGTGTCCTTGGTGTTGTCAGAGAACCCTCACATTCTTCCTCTTCCCAGCTCCTTCAGAGTAGGCCAGTACCACTCCATGGTGACTCCATGGGTTTGAAGTCACAGGGCAGGGGAAGGAGGGGCATACTGGGCTCTAGACTGAGGATGGCTGAAAGCAAGAAGGAAAGATGTGACAGTTTCTTAGGGAAACCAGTCCCTAGGACAGCTTTCTTCTGTGACTCCTGCCCAGGACTTGGAAAACTGGGAGGGACCATGGTGGGAGTCATGATATGAGCAAGCTCTGCAGAACAGAATGGCACTACCACTCAGGGACCAGCATGCTGCACTTTCTTTGAACTTCTGTGTCTTCCTTTCAGGGTGGGGAACAATCACATCACAGCTGCTGGAGCCCAGGTGCTGGCCCAGGGGCTCAAGAGCAACACCTCCTTGCAGTTCCTGGGGTAGGTTGGGTTCAGAGGTGGAGGGCCCACACGAGGAAGTTTGTGCCTTTCAAAGATTTCGGTGCAGGCGAGCACTTCACCTGAAGAGCCCACAGGCAGCCTGGGCTCCAGATGGAAGGGTGGGCTGGGGTGAGCGTGGGTGGTGCTAGGCTGTTTCTGAGCTGCCCTGCGCTCACCTCCTCACCTGGTAAGTAGGGAATTCATGATACAGAGATAGGGAGAGGGCTGTGCCTTGAACTGAGGACCTGAGCCTTCTGGTCTTCAGGGGAATGCAGGACTGTGCTGCCCTTGGAAGGAAGTACTTTGTGTTTCTCAAGAACACCAGGGACAAAATGGACATGTCTCATGACGTGCTTCTAAGGGGGCATCAGTTGTCAAGAACTGGGGATTGTAGAATTCAAGGTGTAGGAAGAGAGAGTAACTATAGGGCCCGGATGTTTCCACCCATTGCTCTATCAGGCTCGTTGCCCATAAGCTCAGTGTGAGTCAGGAAGGAGTCTGATCATTTGAAATCAGCACCCTTTCCAACTGTGTTAGCAGAAACGGAATATACACAAAATGAGGCCTTAGCCCCATGGAGTTCCCTTCTGCCTGAGGTCTCACCTGACACATCTGGACATTTATGTCCCGTTTAATGTTAAAGACACCTGTCTGGGCCAGGAATTGTACCAGGAACTGAAACACTCTCATAGGATGCAAACTGTTCTATAATCCTAGTCCCTCCTCTTGCTTCACAACATAGTATGGGCATCTTCCAGAGGGTATGACTTCATTTTAAGAAGAGTTGCACAGCATCCTACTGGTTGGATGCTTTTAGTTCATTTATTTGACATTCAACTGTTGATGTGCCCTTTGGATGCTTCCAGGTTTGTTTGATTCTCTGTCACAATGTCCTATGCCCAGAGCAGTGTTCTCATACTTAATCTAATGTATAAGTTACCTTTTGTTGCTAGTACTAAAATATCTGATACAGACAACTTTAGAGAAAATATGTTCATTTTTGACTTATGGTTTCAGAGGGTTTAGTCCCCAGTTGTTTAGCCCCTTAAGCTTGAACAGAACATCATGGTGGCAGGAACTTGTGGGAGAAAACAGCTGTTCATTTCATGACTGATCAGCGAGAGGAGGCAGGATGTAGGAAGAGACCAGGGCAATGCATGGCCCCAAGGATATACCCCAAGTGATCTACATTTTCCCTGGGCCATACTCCTGTTGCACCACCTCCCATTAATGCTGTCATAATATGACTCCATCAAGGAATTGATTTACTGGTTAGGTGATATCCCTCATGCCATCTGATTGTTGCTGGAAGCACTCTCATTGACATCCGAAGAGGTGGGATTAAATATTTCTCAGCCTAATGAAGTTGGCAATCAAAATTAGCTATTTTACATAGTGAATGAACATGTTGTGCCAGCCCAGCCCAGCTGTCTTTGTTTATCTGCACATATACACATTCTAGAGCAAGTCCCTGAATGTATGCTATTGAATCAGAATGTGTGAAGTGTGTCCAAGATACAGTGGGTCAGGGGAGAAAGCTCAGAAAGTAAAGGAGCTAGATGGCACAAAAGTAGAGGGGATTTAAAAGAAACAAAAGATTAAAAGCTGGCTTGTCTAGGAAGAGTTAGCCTTGTTCTGGGTAATCTCTGAGAATAGTTATAGACTTGTGGGTGAAAGCTACCAGGAAGCAAATCTGAACTAAATGTCAGGAAGGGGGAAAAAAAAATCACAACCATGTGAGCTACTACCAAGGGTGAGAAGGGGTACTCAAAGTGAGTTCCCCATCACCAAGGGGTGGGGCCATGAGCCTTTGTTAAGTCTGGATTGACACTGAAAGTCTGAGTGGAGTTTGGTCATCTTGTCCACTCTCCTGGGATGGCTGAGACCTCCCGGGGGAGAAAGGGAGAGTGGTGCCGCAGAAGCGCATCAACACATGTCTGAGGAACACCCTATTGACTCCTAAGGTTCTGGGGCAACAGTGTGGGCGATAAGGGTACCCAAGCCCTGGCTGAAGCTGTGGCTGGTCACCAGAGTGTGAAGTGGCTCAGGTAAGCTGCCAGGTGTGTCCTGTCTTTTTCATAGGGGGAGCTAGGTGGTTGGGGACAGTCTTGAAGGTCCCTGAACTTTGTATGCACTCCCTTGTCATAGGCAGTGGAGCAAGGAAGAAAGACCATTGGTTTGGGCAGGAAACTTAAGGGCTTGGGGGTGAATTTGGAGGTGATTCTCCTCCTTTTAGGGTCTTGATTCCTGTTAGCAAATTGAAGGCCATGGATTGGTATTTTATTATACTTTATCTTAAGGACCTGAATAGTTTACTGGAAATGGATGCCCAGTTGGAGAGGGTTTGGAGGCTGCTCCTGGCCTTAAGGGGGCACTGTACTCAGTATGTCTAAGATGGAGGACACTACTAGAATGCGTCATTCACCCTTCATAGGTCAGTTTGTCTCTGAGGTTCCTCTCTATTCTGATTTATTTTTATTCCATGATTATGTCCAGCCTGGTGGGGAACAACATTGGCAGTGAAGGTGCCCAAGCCCTAGCACTGATGCTGGAGAAGAACAAGTCACTGGAGGAACTCTGGTGAGTTGGGAGGGCTCCCCTGCTCCTAGGAGCTGGGTATTAGTCTTTATTGATTGCCTAGCCTCACCCATTGGAAGTTGTGTAGGTAAGCTAAGCCTGGATGACTGATCATTGATTTTGGCCTTGAATTGTGTGAAGCTTGCGGAGCCTGGTTTCACTGCTAGTTCTTTTAATCTGTGTGGATATGTTGGCTTGCTGCTTCATTTATTGCCTGCACACACCATAGTGGTAAAGACTGCAGACTCTGGAATCAAGCGGGTAAATTAAAGTAATCCCCAGATTACAGTTTTCCACCTCTGAACAGAAGCCTAGAATGCTTCCACCTCTTAGAAGGTACTTTCAAGAATTAAAGAAGGACTACCTTACATGCCATCCTAGAGCCTTCATCCTAGAGTATCAGTCGAGTAGCTGATAGAAGCAGAAGCAGACACCCACAGCTAAACACTGAACTGAACTCCAGGAATCCAGTTGCAGAGAGGGAGTAGTAGTGAGCAAAGGGGTCAAGACCAGGCTGGAGAAACCCACAGAAACAGCTGACCTGAACAAGGGGAAGCTCATGGACCCCAGATTGATAGTTGGGAAACCAGGATAGGACTGACCCAGACACCCTGGATGTGGGTGTTAGTTAGGAGAACTGGGCAGTCTATGGGGCCTCTGGTAGTAGAACCAGTATTTATCCCTAGTGCACAAATGACCTTTGGGAGCCCATTCCATATAGATGGACACTCCCTCAACCTAGACACATGGGGGAGGGCCTAGGCCTTGCTCCAAATGATATGACTGACTTTGAAGATCTCCCATGGAAGTCTTCACCCTCCCTGGGGAGCAGAAAGGGGATGAGATTGGGACTTGTGGAGGGGGGGTAGGAGAGGAGGGGAGGGAGAGGGAACTGGGATTGACATGTTAAAAAAAAAGCTTGTTTCTAATTTAAATAAATAAATAAATAAGTAAATAAATCTCACAAAACTAGACGCCCAAAATACCAAGTAATCTAATTAAAAATAGGGAACAGATCTAAACAGAGAATTTTCAACAGAACAAACTCAAATGACTGAAAGACATTTAAAGGATTGCTCAACATCCTTAACCTCAGGGAAATGCAAATCAAAATGACTCTGAGATACCATCTGCCATAATGGCTAAGATGGGAAAAAAAAGAAAAAGCAAGGTAGTTAGTGCTGGTAGAGAGCTTAATATAGTGCCTGCCATATGTGCACGCTTAAAATAGTGCCTGCCGTATGTGTACATGTTTCATGAATGCTACCATTGATGCAGTGAGGTTAGTGCTGCTATTGCAGCTGCCAGCAACTGCAGCAGTAGTACTATGAGTCCTGAGTGGTAGTGCTTGTGAAGTTTAGTCCACAATGAGCTTGAGTTCTTCAGAGCCCTGGCTACTAGAGTCAGGGGTCACCTCAGAAGGTGAATGGAGTTTGGGATCATCAAGAGAAGAGCCACAAAGTGTGCTTATGACACTTACAGCCGAAGCAGGGAGACCTTAAGTTATCTATCCTGTGGATGTAGCAGTCGCTGTTGCCTCTCCATTCATCGGAGCCTGGCTGGACAAACCATCTCCACCCTTAGCATAACAGTTTTGCTGGAGGGAAATGTACTCTCCTTTTTCTGGGAGGATAATTCCCCACCTTGGGGCAAGCTGATCATCTTGACCTGTATCGTTTTCTCACAAATGTCTTCTGTGAACTGCTTCTTGGATTCCAAAGCCTCCCAGCATCTCCTTACTTCACAGTTTGCCTTCTTACTAATTTTTTTTCCTTAGAAACCCCAGTCTGATACAAATCTTGTCACGTTAGTTTTTTTTTTTTTTTTTGAGTAACCCAGACAGATCTTTTCATTTATTTATCCATGTATTCATTTATTTATTCTCCTTAATTTGTTCTCTCACCTTACAGATTCCTTATATGCTGGTCTAAGTCCCTGAGATCTGCCAAAGCCAAATTTAGTATGAGTTAATTCTATCACACGGTAGAAAGCCTCCATCTGCAAGGCTTAAAAGCAGCAGAGGTTTGTTTTCTTGTGGCTGGGAAGTCTGGAGGTAGGCAGTGTAGAGCTGTGGTGGCGTCTACAGCAGGCTAGCCAGGACCTCACCTGTCCATCTCTTTCCATCCCATCATATTGGCATGTCTCCTCATCTCACGATCAAGGTAACTGCTCCATTTGCACACCTGCTTTTGTATTCCAGGGTTCAGTCTCTTTATCGTACAGGCAAACAGCAGGCGGAGTACCTCCCTTTCAATGGCATTCCTGGAAGCTGCCATCTGTCAACTTTCCCTGTGTATCCATGGCTCTGTATGTGTTACTTGCCCAATTCTGGTTGCAGTAGAAAGCCGGAGATGCATTTTCTTCAAGAAGTACATAGCGTCTCACACCAAAATAAAGTTTCTTGTTAATCTAGGAAAGAAAAAGACAAGAGTATTCGTAGCTTCATTTTCATATGATGGGGATTTTTATATAGTGACACTGTGGAGTGAGTTCCCTTGCAAAGCTGTCTCTGGAATTGAGGTTCCTCATCCTCTTGTCTCTTCTTATTCTTGCTGAGTACTGGGATTCTCTAAATGGGGTGGGGGTATAGGTTAACCCTTCCTGACATCTTCCCCCAAAGTTGATGTCACCAGGACAACTTGTTCTCCTTTTTGTTATTGGCAGCCTGGAGGGAAACCATATCTGTGACGAAGGGGTGCGTTTTCTGGCAGAAGGACTGAAGAGAAATTCAAGTTTGAAATTTTTGAAGTAAGTGCCCTGTGATGATACAATAATGCCCAGCTTGAGGAGGGGATTTAGAGTTTAAGGTCAGGCTCTGGCCAGCTCTGCAACCTCACTGGGGTGTCTGGCAGAGAAAGCTTGTCTTGGTCTGGGCATATGAGGCTGCCAGTGCTCATTGCTTACCTGGCATCTGGGCGGTGCTGGGAAACACTGCAGGAGGAGAGGTTTAGTGTGGCAGGAAGGGATGGTGACCATAGAGGCTGGACCTGGGGGTGGTTATCGCCAAGGAGACTAGGAGTTGGCAGAGCATGCCTGACCCCTCCCCGATGCAAGAATGGAGCAACAGAATACTTACCCTCAAATGCATGCAGAAGGTGTGTGTGTGTGTGTGTGTGTGTGGTTGTCTGTTGTCCTAAACATCCAGGTTATTCTCACAGGGCTATGCCTGCTCCAAGAGTCTAGAGCAGTAGTTCTCAACTTGGGGTACCGAACGACCCTATCACAGGGGTCTCCTAAGATGATCAGAAAAACACAGATATTTACATTACAATTCATAACAGTAGCAAAATTACAGTTATGAAGTCACAAGGAAAGTAATTTATGGTTGGGGTTCATCACAACATGAGGAACTGTGTTAAAAGGTTGAAGCATTAGGATGGTTGAGAACCACTGGTCTAGCGAGTGGCAGATCTCAGCAAGCAACACTCAGAATCAGAAATGTAAGCGGAGGGAGCATGGACAGGCAGGCTGACTGAATGTATCTGCTGTGTGATTTAGAGGTGTCCTCCTTCCTCCAGGGGCCATTGCTGCTCAGGCAGAAGGGCCATTTGGATGATCCTCTTCAGTGGTGTCTCCTGGTGTGATGTGGGTTGAGTGCCGGTGTTTGCTCATGTTTGCACGCATCCATTGATTGGACAAACGTTTGCACACTCATCTATGCATTTGTATAAGAAGCGACCCTGCCCCAACTCTGTTAGGTGGAAAGGAAGACAGTGCAGGCCCTCATCCTTCCATTTCACATAGTCTCATGGGAGACACAAAACGGCTTATTTCTGGCTGGGGGCAGGGGATGTGTCAATGGGAGATATGGTTGTTGCCATTTGGACAAGACCTCTAAGAAGGAGGCATTTGAATTCAGACTGGAAAGGCTCCCACTGAAGCCTGGGAGACACATCAGGTTCATGGGACAGCAAGTGCTATTGGAGCACTTGTGGCGCATCATTGATCAGGTGTGGATGTGGCAGGTTTGTCTTTCCTCATTGCCACGCTGTGCCTCACTTGATCCTAAAGGAGGCCAGGTAATGGCTGAAGTGGGAGTGTCCTCTGTTACCTGTTGCCAGACTGATTATTCAGTATCCAGAGCAGTAATAACTACACCATCCCCATTCCCCATAGCATCTATAGCTTTATCTATCTATATGTGAGGAGATAAAGAAAGAGAAATAGGGTGGAGAGAGAGAGAGCCCACATCTTTCTTTTTCCACTGTCTTCTCTGCCAAGTGTTGGTTGGAGTCCAGCTTCCCAGGCAGACAGTTTCTCCTTGGACAGTTGCCTTAGCTGCCTCAAGTGTAAAGGGATAGTAATTGGCCTCCGCATGGGTTCTGAGCATGCACTGAAGCAACAGGCAGAGAGTTGGCACACAGGAAAAGCTCAGCACATGCTGGCATTGTTCTTAGCATCGCTTTGATGACAGATGTGCAGCAGGCCAGTGCTAGGGAGGAAGGCAGATGGTGCAGTAGTTCCTAGAAGGCAAAAGCTGGGAGCAAAAGTTTCCATGGTGGATCAGCTCCTGTCTCACCCTCTGTCTCTAACCTCTGTCCCTGGGCATCACTGTGAGGCACTCACTATCAATGAGGTGCTGTGCCAATGAGCTCTTGCTGTGCTGTTTTTTGTTTGTTCTTATTCTCTGTGAGGCAGGCACTTCCTTATTTAGACAAATTTGCCCAAGATTGAACAGCAAATGGTACAGGTTGGATCTGAACCTTCAAAATCCTGGCACTGAACTGTGGGGTTCAGCCCTCATGTCTTTCATGGGTGGCTACTTTGGAGAGGAAGAGGGGCTTTCTTCACAGGGACATTGGCCTCATGGATGAGCTCATTGGGCTTGTGTGAAACCAGACAGGCTCAGTAGAAGACCAAGTCTTATAGTAGCACATCATGTCTACTTCTCTTCCAGGCTGTCCAACAATGGCATTACCTACCAGGGTGCAGACGCCCTCCTGCAGGCCCTCCACAGGAATAGTACCATTCTGGAAGTTTGGTAAGGCAGTTGGGGAAACTTCTTTGCTTTTCCAAACCTTGATTTTCATATCCATGAGAGGAATGAGAGGAGAGAAGAATGGTGGGATTTTGAAGATCAGTTTTGACCAACATTTGATATTATAATAGATTCAGATATCTGGCTATAAAGGAAATTGTTGTCTCTAAAGAGGGGACAGTTTTGCTCAAAACCAGGGTGTGGTGGTGTGTAACTGTAATCCCAGTGCTCAAAAGGCTGAGTCAGGAGGAATTTGTTTTGTTTTGTTTTTCTAGACAGGGTTTCTCTGTGTAGCCAGACTGTCCTGGAACTCACTCTGTAGACCAGGCTGGTCTTGAACTCAGTGATCCACTTGCCTCTGTCTCCTGAATGCTAGAGACATGCACTGCCACCAACCAGAGAGACAGGAGGATTTTGAGTTTTAAGTCAGCTGAGGTTATAGAGTAAAAGTCTGTCTCAGAAAGACAGACAGAATGAACAAATAAGAAAAAGAAAGAAGGAAAAGAAGGGAAGGAAGAACAAAATGGACGTGTAAAATCAAAAGTATTCTAAAACTTTGGTGTTCTAAGCTGCAAAGTAGGAATAGGGGGTGTGGTTAGATAATTAAAATAAGGATCCCAATACTCCCTCTGCCATGACATGGGCTCTTGGAGATTTGAGGATGGTATGTGAGACCCTTTGCATCCTTGAATTCTGGAGATTGCACAGGGTGGGAACTGCGGTATGGTGTGACCACATCTGTATCATTAAGAGCCACAGTCCTTTATGTCCAGATACAATTTGGTCAAGGCTCCTGTTTCTCATGTTAAAAAGCAGAAAGGAATGCTCTAGCTTAACACATAACAAGTGAAAGTTACTATTTGTGTGTCTCAGGCATTGGCCTAGATACCAGTATTTTCAAACTAAGAGAGTTCTTATAAAGGTCTGTATTTCAGATCAGGTATGTATGGTATATGCCTATGGTCCTACTACTTAAGAGGCTGAGGCAGGATTGTGAGTTCCAGTGTGTCTGGGCAAGACTCCAAACAAAACAATCACACCTTTTACTATTCCTCAAAAATGCTGCCCACGCTGGGGCCCTATTTTCTCTATTCTCCTGCTCACCCATCCCCACCCCCCACCTCAGACAAAATCTCATGTAACTCAAGCTGGCTTTAAACTCATTGTGTAGCCAAGGATAAATTCCTGGTTCTTCTATCTCCACCTCCCAAGTGCTGGGATTACAGATGTGCACCACCATGCCTGGCCATTCTCAATGCCAGATATTTAACCAGAGGGGAGGAAGAGTCAGCCCTTCTTAGGTGGCTGCCGACCTGGAGACAGGTCCCATTCATGCTTATGTTCATACCATAGCAAACAGATCTAACCAAAGCCTAAATCCCCTGGGCTGGAGACACTTTGTTTCCTTGATTGCCGAGCCTCATTGCTGGGAAGGTCAGGTAGTCTAGCATTTGAGACAGCATGTTTTTTTGTTATTGCTGTTGTTTCTGTTGTTGTTGTTTTAATCATTGTGCAGGCCTAAGAAGGGTTACATTCTGTGGTCAAGGAGGAGACCAGCCTCAGGCTGCTATTTAAGGGTTCTGATACCCTTGCTGCTTACTGATGAAGCTGTATGGGCATGGGCTTTGCTCACTTCATTTTTAACAGATGTGGTTATCTCCTGAAAAAGAATAGCTGCCCCCACCCTAACCCCCACCCCCACCCCGGAGTCTGTAGTCTGTAGCTGGCATGGTCCAGTGTTGCACATTCTGTGGGGTGGTCTGGGCAGCCCTGGGTGGTACGTGGTAAAAACAGAGCCCTTCCATCTAGTGAGCCTGAGGTTGGGACTGAGTATCAGCCCCTCCCAGGCATGGGATTAAGGGTGGCCACTTACCTTGCAAGCCTTCACTCAGGCTTGTCTTCACTTAGATCTCACTTCCTTTCATCCCTGCAGGCTCCGAGGGAACACCTTCTCTCCAGAGGAAATTGAAACACTCAGCTCCAGGGACAGCAGACTCTTGCTTTGACATCTCAGCCTTGGGGGATTGGACTCTGGAGGCTGAATAGCTTCAGGCAATATCCCTGTGCTACTCTGGGCTGGACTGTTCCCCCTCCCCCCGGGGGCACTATAGTCTCCTTCTGATAGCAGAAAATGGTGCTCCAGTGCCCTCCAGAATTGACTTTTCCCAAGGATGTGTGATGGTTGGTCTTGGTTGACTAAACTAGTTTAAGAGACACTTGGGACTAGAGGACCACATTTCTGTGAGGTGTCTAGAGAGGAATATCACCTAGGGCAGTGACTGGGAGGGGGAAAGGTCCTGACTGAATGTGGACAACACAATCCACCCGGTGATCCATGGGAGGAGGAAGATAGCGAATACTTGCATGCATGAGCTCTTCTTCCTGAGTGAGGACTTCTTTGGCTGCTGACATCGCCTTTGGACAGCAGACTCCAGCTTCTTTGGCCTTTTGACTTGGACACAGCACCAGTGACATTTTAGGGAGCTTCCAGGCCCCAGCTTCTTGGTCCTGACAGCTACCAGACTCTGCCTCTCCAGATGGCCATTGTTGGACTGCCCAGTCCCGATGATGTAAGTGAATCTGAGAAATTCCCTTTCCTTCTTCTCCCTTCCTGCCTCCCTTCTTCCCTCCCTCCCTCCTCCCACCTACCCTGTTGGTTCATTCCTCAGAAGAACCCTGGCTAATGCACCTGCTTTTGCTCTCTGTTCTTTTCCAGACTCCAAGAATGAGTGGGATGAACACAAGAGCTCCCTCTGACGACAGTATGTGGTGGGCTGCTAGCTGAATGGCCAGGGTTCTTATGGGGGTCAGTCAGACCCATGGATGTCAACTCAGGGCCTGTTGTTGTGGAGACTTAGGCCCACATGCAAGACACCCCCCTCCCCTTCTCTCTCTCAGAGAGGAATATCCAGGAAGCAGCTCTTAGCTATGTCTGGACTCAGCTCTGGCCCCCCCATTCACCCTGCACGAGGCTCACCAGGACCTCACCCCAGACAGCCAACACAATACCTATCTTTTTCCCCTTTCTTAACGTAAACAACAGCCATTTGCCCCCAGGATGTTCTGGATTTACAAGAAAAACATGACCACACTCCAGCTGGGATGATCACATGTGGACTTGGGTTTCCAGTAACATCAATTACTTTGTAGCAGAGCCTTTGGAGTCAGTTCCTCCCTCAGCAACAGCTTTTTAGCGTTAATCTGGGCTAGAATTTCAAACAACCCCACCAGGCCTCAAGTTGCTGCCTGTGAACTGAACTATAACAACAGACTTCTGAAACATATTCACAAAAGGCAGCTCCATTTTTATCTGTGACAGAATGCTTTAGGATATAGAGTTAGGGGTTGGACATCCACAGGGGATAAAACCAGGCCCTTTGCTTCTAAGTCAGGTCTTTTTGTGTTTTTCAAAATGTCACTTTTGTAATTTTTAAATTATAGAAATGTTACTCCATATCATTGTGTGTGAAAACAGGTTAATATTTATAAACTGTGTCGTTTTATTACAAGTTGGCACTTTTATAGACAATGTGATCATGAACTTTCTGTTATAAATAACCACAGAGGTGAAAACTATTGAGTTCCCAAAGCTGTGTTCATTGTGATAAAACATTTAAAAATACCCCCAAACCTGTCAAATTTTAAAGTGCCATGTTCTACATCGGAGGTGGAGGGTGGGGGGATGCTGTTTTCTATTGGATAATTTATTGTGTAATGCAAAAAGCAATTCTTAGAAATTGCTGGCAGTCAAAACGCATTTGGCGTTTTAGCAGAGTCTTAACCCAGTGTGAAATCTGAGCTGTTCTGGATGGAGCCTCATGGGGTCACAGGGACAGCCCTCTGGGTCTTCCTTAGTTCCTTCCAAGTGGCTGTAGGACTAGGACTCTTTAACAGGAGGAAGGTGAAGAAGGTGGGTATGTGGTATTCCTCTTCCAGCAGCCTCCTGCACTGGCTTCCCTGGCATAAGACTTAGCTGCTCTCTGTGAGCATGCGCACAGGTGGCTGCTGGCTGTGGGGGGCGTCCTGCTTCCTCAGAGGTCTTCTGTGTGTCTGGTTTACTAAAGGTTGGGGCATTTCTGTTCTCAGGCTGTGCCCTGCCTGGATAGTTGTGGTTGGTACAATGACCAGGGGAAGTAGGAGTGGGGCCACCTTCTCTAAGGAGGGAATATAGTGGTCATTTGCACAACACCATGTTGGATGGTGAGCTCATCTTCAGTAATAATTTATTAGCTAGTTATGTCAGGACAAATGGCCATTGTCCTTGTCCTCACAGCTCCAGGGTGAGGGCAAAAGGAAGGGTAGACAGAAAGCAAGTTCATTAAAAATGTGTATATAAGAAAATACTTTTCTATTAAAGTACTAGGAAGGAAGTTGCTAAAGCTAGCATTTAAATGTACCTCAGAGGCTCATACACTGATGCCTTGGTGCCTGGCTTCTTCTGGTGCTGTTGGAGGTAAAACCTGGAGGAAGTGGGACCTGATGGAGGGAAGTGAGGTCATTGGGGGTCATGCCCTTCACAGGGATATCGGGACCTCTGACCCTTTCTGATCTCTCTTGCTTCTTGTCTACCATGAGGCAACAGATTCTGTTAACTATGTTTCTGCTGTGGCACACCACTACCACAGGTGCACAGCAACAAGGCCTGAATTTGCCTTTCCTCCTCTGATGCTCCTCATTGCCTCCTCAAGGGAAGTGAGAAATAGGCAGAGGCAGCAGTGCCAGGGAGCTTTCTTCTGATGAGCTAGGAAAGCTGTGCCCCATGGTAAGGAGCTGGCCAGGCCACCAGAGAGTGGGCAAAGGCTTTCCGTGCCATGGAGACAGCTGCGCAAGGACTGTTCAGATAAGATCCTTGCTGTGTGGCAAGCTGAGTAATGGTCCCCAAAGATATCAGGTTCTAGTCCCTAGGACCTTACACAGTAGAAGTGACTGTGTAGATTTTCTGGGAATGGGTGCTGGTGGCCATGGGTTATCTGGTTGGCCCTGGACACATTCACTTGTGTGTCCTTATGAGAGAGAGCCAGGGGTGGGGAGGTGGGGGACATGACACAGGACAAGGCACCATGACAGCTGAAGCAGATGCCTTGCTGCTGGCCCTTAAGGTAGAAAGGGAGGTAAAGGACAAATGACTGCAAGTCTGGAAGCTGGGAATGACTGGGAAGCAGATTCTCCCCACAGCCTCATAGGACGTCCAGTCCACTTCAGATTTAAACAGGCGCTGGAGTAATTTATGTCACTTTCAGACCTTGTGCTTGTGATGGTTTGCTACAACTGTAGGAAGTGAACATGTTCTGTTTGCTGTGATGTGAGCCAAGGGAAGGGTGTCACTAGATAGGCTGGTAGAGGCATTTCTTGATGGCTATGATCAAGAATTTGGTCTTGACCTTGGAATACTGTGGCACATAGCTGTAATCCCAGCACTCATGAGACTCAATGGAAGAATTTAGCATTTGAGCCCAGCCTGGGCTATGTAGTGAGAATCTATATCAAAAAACCTAAATAAATAAAATAAGGTCAAGCCACTGGAATGTTCTAAGCAGGGGAGATATGATCCATTTTTTCTTTAACAAAGAACTCTGCTCCTGGGTAGAGATGTGACCCAAATTCATAGGGGTGGGGATGAGAGAGGAGGAAGTGGGAAGGTGGTTGAGGTACTGGTGCATTCTGGGTGTTGGTGGGGGAGGTGGAGCTAGGAGGATGGGCTCCAGAGACCCTGTGGAGGTGGGTGCCAGGGGCTTGCAGGTAGGTAGCAGAGGGCCCAGGGAAAGGGAAGACTCTAGATTGACAATATTTTAGCTCTGAGCATCCGGAGGCTGGGGACAGCAGCTGAGAAATAGAAGCAGCTGAGAAGTAAGCTGAGAAAGAAAAGACGTCTGTTTCAGATGGTCGTTTGCTATGCCTAAGAGAAGTCAAGTTATACTGGATCAGTCTGGAGCCCAGAGAGGGCACTGCCAGAGAGAGTGGGGTGGGTGTCCTCAGCGTCAAGATGAGGAGTGCTTAGACTTGGATGGCAGAATCCAGGGAGAGACTGGGAAGAAATAAGAGGTCAGAACCAAGTGTGGTGGTGCACACCAGTGTTACGAGCACTTTCCTGCCAGCCTGGTCCCACAGCCGTGAAGGTCCCAAAATAACACAGAGATTCCATTAGTTATAAAGCTGTTGGCCAGTGTCTAGAGCTTCTTATTGGGTAGTTCTGTCTAAATTATTAACCCATAATTACTAATATATGCATTTCTACATGGTCTTATCTTACTGAGAATGCCAGACTCATGTGTCCTCTCCTCCTGAGATCACATTGCGACTCTTGTCCTACGTTTCCTAGAATCCCCCACCTCTCCTAGTCCCACCTATCTTGCTTCCCTCTTGGACAACAGTGCTTTATTCATTAACCAATAAGAGAAACATACTTACAGAATGACATCTCCCATCACACTAGTGATCCTAGCACTTGGCAGGTAGAAGCAAAACAATGAGGGTCAACTTTGGTGACATACCGAGCTGAGATCAACCTGGACTACACCAGACTCCATCTTAAGCAACAACAGCGATCAATCAAAATTACTTAAAAAGGAAAACAATGACAAAACAAAAAGGGAAGTAAGACATTACATAGACCCAGACAAGGACAGTACACAGACCTTGGTAGGAAATTATTGACAGAGTTCAGAGTTGAAGAACTTTCCAGACCAACAGATAACACTAAAAGGACTTGGGTACCCAGTGAACTCGGGTTCTTAGTCTTAAATTTCTCTGACTAAAAAGTTACTGGAAAAGCACATGTACTCGTAGCCCTTGGCTTAGCCCAGCCCTTGCAGATTTCCAACGTGGGGCAAAAGTACCTAATTCTTATATGGGGAACAAAAGGTACCAGAGCAGGAGACTTTTCTAGATTTTAGTTTCTGGAAACTTTTCAGATTTTAATTATCTCTATCATGATCCTGGGAGAAAGTGGTCATTGAGTATTGAGGTAGGTCACCCCTACCTCAGCCTCCTCCACAATCGGGAAACAAGATACTGAAATGAATATGTGGTGAAGAAATGTGATCAAAAGGACTGGGGGTGTAGCTCTGCGGGAAAGCACTTGCCTAGCATTGCACAGTTCAGTCTCCAACACTGAAAACAAAGACGAAAGGTTAACAGTGGAACTGAGCCGGAAGTAGGCTGAGTCTAGGCCAGAGTTTTGATGCTTTACTTCAACAATTAAGGTACCTCCTCCCACTCAGTTGTCCCCAGTTAAGTTCCAGCAGCATTCATGCTCAGCCTCAGGTTGGGAGAGTGGCTACAGGTCATCTGAGACATGGGGGCTGAGCAATTTCCTCTTTGAGAGTTACATCCAAACACATTAAAGCTGCATAGACTGGAAACCCAAACTCTTCAGCTGTGCTCCCCTGAGATGCCTGTTGTTTTGACTCTAAATCTCATTGCAACCTATAACTATTTTCCCCAACAAGCCACCATCAATCCTCTAAGCACAGCTCCCTTCTGCCACTCACTCATCCTATCGTCTTCTGTTCTAAGGAACACCACAACCATTCCAAAAAGCAGAGTAATTTCCTCCATTTTTTGTCTTTCCAAACTTCTCTTTCCCTTAATGATTTTTTTTAAACATTTTGTTATGATGCCCAAGCTGGCTTTGAACTTGAGATCTTCATGCCTCAGCCTTCCTACTGCTGGCATGACACGTGTGTACCACCATGTGTAGCTATCTTCTTTCTTGGCATCTGCAGTTCCATGTCCCCCTCATACACACCACTCCTTGGTCATTGCTTCATTCCCAGGAGACAAGGGGTCCCATGGTTGTAGCAGTCCCATGGCTGGGCTCCTTACTTCTGCCCCAAGTGTGCAGATTGAGTCTAGTAAAACCACACTAGTCAGATTAGCCACCGCTCTTCTCTAAGACCTCTTTGACTAAGTGCAGAGCTCACCTAATGAGCAGTATTCAGTGGGAGCAGAAACCAAAGCTGGCACAGATGAGAAGAATGAATCTCCTTCCCGTGGCACTGCTAGTGCTTCCTTCCCACGGAAGGGTGGCTGTATACACGAGACCATGCTTAGTGCGTGCATTGCCCCAGATGGGTCCCAGATGTGGCGCACAAGTGTCAGAGAAGAGCACTAAGTCTTTTCTTCTGTGTGCTTTAGAGTTCCTCACAGCAATCACTCATCACTGATAAATACTGATAACAGCTCAAAGAGGGGAGTGGGGCCTCAGCTGGATTGGCTTAAAGATGTTTAATGCAATCCTTTTTATCTAATTGAAAAGAGCTTTTAGGTGGCCAGTGTAAAAGCTTCCAGATGGAGTGCTCAGGTGTGCCTCGAGTCCCTTCCCCAGAGATAAATACATTTGTGACAGAGGACTCTTAGCTCCCTATCCCTAGTCATGACACCATTCTGGGCTTCTGTGGAGAAAGCAGTGGTACCCTAGCCTCACCTGCAAGGATACCTGGTCTACGTAGCCTCTTGGCCCAGAACTCATTCTGGTTTGGAGCCATGTTCACCAGGTTGGTGGGAACACAACTGGAACCATGGAGGTGAGTGACGGGAAGTCACTATTCACTGTGATGGGGAATGGTAGAGGATTG